TATAACAGTACGCTTGTGGAGTTTTGCAATTGGGAACCATGGTTAATTTTCATTTTCTATTATTGGGAAGGGATAGTTGATATCCTGGTTGGCTGTTAGAGCTATTAATTGGTTGGGTTTGGACCAAGCCCTCCCAAGCTTGAGCCCAACCCGAAATCATGTAAACTAGGCCAGGCCTAAAATATAATTTTTGGGCCCCAGCCCTAATTAGTGATGATGGGGCCCCAACTTGGCCCGAACCCCTCCCCTTAAAAAAAAAAAAAAAGGCTGGGCCGATGCAAAACTTATATAGTATAGGGAAATGATTTTAGAAAATGGTATTAAACATTTCTTGCTGGGCTCAGTCGGGCCTTGCCCACCCCAATCTGGCGTGGCCCGAGCTTACCGGCCGGTGCTGGCCTGTTAACAGTCTAGTTGGGTGCCATAATTTATAATCATATGGAAGTAATGTGTCTTAGAATTACTACAGAGTACATTGATTCAAAAAGCGGACTGCCCAGCGCCTAGGCGGTTTGAAAGGCCTGAGCACATCGCCCATGCCTCGGTGGCCAATCTGGGCGGTCGACCTTGGGCGGCTGCCTAGGCGGGCGCTCAGCACCCAGCCCTGGGCGGCCGCCCAGGGGTGGAAATAAGTATCGGTGGGAGCATATTTGGTTATTTGTTTTGTATTAAAGAGCTAACAATTAGGGTTTTAGGTTCATTTGAAACCTAAAACTTATTGGAGCCAGTTTTAGAGAGAGAAATCCCCCAAAAAAGTAGTTTTTGGTGAATTTTTTAAGATTGAAGGGTTTCTCAAAGTTAACAAAAATTGATCAAAACATCACCTATTGATCTTAGATTTACTTTTGATGTTTTGCAAAATTATTAAGGCGTTTTTTAGAAGATTTTGAGTATTTAGAAGCATCTTTGAGGTGGAAGTTTGAAGATTGAGCAATCAAACTCAAAGTAAGTGATTTTTTTTATTGCTTTAGTAAATTGCTTTATTTTTTAGGTGTCTTCTTTGGGATCTAATAGGAGTGGTGATCCCGGTTGAAAATATGGCGATCCTAATGATAAAAATTGTATAAGATGCAAGTTTTGTGATAAGGATACAAAAGGAGGCATAAACCGGTTCAAGAAACATCTTGTCGGTATTAGGGGGGATGTTACCCCATGTAAAAAGATTCCTAATGCTGTTAAAGAGGAAATAAACAATTTTTTGAACATGATAAAAATGAAAAAAAATGAGAGATTTGCCTCTATAGCAGAGATTAGGTTTGGGGTTCGGGTCAATTATGATGATGATGATAGTGATGAGGAAAGATGTCAAGAGGTTGAACAATCTATTATTAAGGGAAAGGGGAAGGGGGTTGTAATTGCTTTTGGTTCTGGGACTAAGAAGCCTCGGGTTAAAGGCCTTATGGATAGTTTTTTACCTCAGCATGACCCTGAGGTTGCAGGAGAGAAAACGAAGAAGCAAACCACCATTGAAAATAGAATCAAGAAGGAAGAGAGAGATAGAGCTGCGTATTAGCTTTCTACATGGTTTTATGATGCGGGCATTCCTTTCAATACTGCTCGCTTAAGCAGCTTCTATGCTACGATAGAGGCAATTGGCCAATTTGGCCTTGGGATGAAACCCCCAACCCCATATGAGCTTTCAGAGCTTTTTTTAAAAAAGGCAGTGAGTGTCACGAAGGAAGCTGTAGAACTTAAGAAGGATGCGTGGGGTCAGTATGGGGTTTCTATTATGACTGATGCTCGGAGTGATCGGAAGAGAAGAAGTTAGATGAATTTGCTTGTGAATTGTCTTGTAGGGACTGTTTTTTGAAGGTCTATTGATGCCTCTTATCATATCCATGATGCCCATTGCATATTTCAAGTGATAGAGAAGGGAATCAAGGAGGTTGGGGAGCATCTTGTTGTACGGGTTGTCACAAACAATGCTGCTCCTAATGTTGCTGCATCTAATTTGTTGCGCATAGCTTATCCTAGAATCTTTGGACACCATGTGCAGCACATTGTATAGACCTCATGCTTGAGGCTCTTGGCGGTTTAACCGAGATATCAGGTACAGTGAAGAATGCCAAGTTAGTTGCAAATTTCATTTATAACCACCATCTCACCCTCAGCATGATGCGTACCTTTACAAAGAAGAAAGTGATTGTGAGGCCTAGGGTCACGAGATTTGCGATCTGGTACTTATGCCTAGATAACATACATTCGAGGAGAGTGCAGTTGAGGCAAATGTTTACCTCGGATGACTGACAGCATGCAAGTGGTCTAAGGATCAGGTTGGGCAGAAGGTGAGCGATATTATCCTTTTTAAGGCTTTTTGGCTAGGGGTGAAGGGCTCTCTTAAGGTATTTTTTCCTCTTGTCAAAGTCGTTCGCATGGTTGATAGTGACAAGCCTTCTATGGGCTACATCTATGATGTTATGGAGAAATGCAAAAGAGAGATAGCCCAAAATTTAAATGATGACGAAACCCGCTACAAGCCTGTTTGGGTGATTATTGATGACAAGTGGGATAAGTAGCTACATCGGCCATTGCATGCAGCTGGTGATTATTTGAACCATGCTTTTTTTAATATTGACAAGGATATACAAACAAATGACGCAATTATGAATGCATTTAATGAGTGTGTAGATGTGCTAGTCCCTGATCCTGATATGCAGGATATTATATGCGTTGATGAGCTGATAAATTACGAGTGCTCATTAAAGTCGTTTGGAAGTCCAATGGCGATGAGGCAAAGGACCAAAATTAATCCAGGTATTAATAATATTCTTAAGTTCATCAAGTTCAAGTAATCAAGTAATTCTATTATTTACTTATGAATTTTTTCTATATCTTTGAAGCCCATTGGTGGAGTCAACATGGGTGTAGTTCTCCAAATTTACAAAAATTGGCCATTCGGATCTTAAACCTAACCACTTCATCCGGTTGTGAGTGCAATTGGAGTACTTTTGAAGGGGTAAGGCCATAACTAAAGGTAATTTGTATAATTTTATAAATAATACATGAACCATAGATATTAGATTTTAATTAGTTTCATTTGATTTTGTTAGATTCATACAAAGAAAAGGAACATGCTTGAATCAAAGACGCTCAAAGACCTAGTCTATGTCAGTACAATCGATTCTTGAATGACAGGTTTGCTAAGAGAGATAAGAGAGACCCCATTAGATAAAAAAATATGGACCATGTTATGGAGTGGTTAGTTGATGATGATGAGGTCGAGAGGCATAAAGGATTGCCATGGACATGGTCATGGATGCTTCAGAGACATCAGCTGACCCTCTTAGGGCCACTAGATATTCTGCACCGAGAACAAGGGTTGAAGAAGAGGAGGAAGAAGAGGTTGATTCAGAAGAGACGGAGGAGGACGAGGACGAGGACAACCAATATGTCGAGGAGGGTGACGACTCTGTCAACTCCGATGAATATGACGTCAATGCAGCTGACCCAAGATTTTCTGATGATGAATGAAAGATGAATGTTGACTAATTATTAAATTTTGAAGTTTGAACTTTGATTGAAGTATTGAACTATTGATGATTCTTTTGAGTCTTCAAGTATTACTTTCATAGTTTCATAATTCAATTTTGTTTTCTTCCTCATGGTATAACCTTACAAGAATGGAAGGGGGGATGGAGAAAAACATCCAAATCCTTGGCTTCGCAATTTACCATGTAATATCAGGATTTTACAAGCACTTGAAGGAGAGAGAGAGATTCCATCATTTTACCCTTGCGATCCCATACTAGTGGGATCTGGAAGCCATATATGGCGATGCTTTTGTTCCATAATGTTTAGGACTCGAAATTAAATTTTAAGGAACTTGTTTCCTTATAAGATGGAGCGAGATCCCGAAAGCACTAAATTGAGTTTCAGACAAGATCTGTTCAAGGATCGAGAGAATCAAGGTTTTGCAAGGGATTGCCAAGCAAGGGAGGTGATCCTGGTAAATATAGAAAATACTTGTTTAACACTGTAGTATATGCATTCATATGTCATCTAGATTTCAAGTATGAACAGGATGTTTTGCCTCCTTGTTAATCACCCCCAAAAAAGAAAAGAAAAAAGAAGATATTTTGCCTTTAGTCTAAAGAAGGGTGAGGGCCTTAAACTTTCCCTTAACTTGTCCCAAAGACAGGTAAAGGAGGTGGGTTGTGTTAGGTACGCAGCCAATATAGAACTTTGTTAAGACTTTCCATGAAAACCGACCTGAAATAGTTGGGAAAAGTCTTTGTTGATGATGTTTTGTATTCGTTCATGACTTTTATCATTTGTGTTATCCATATTCCTTCCCTCACCTTCGCTGACCTACTCTTGACAATGTCATGGAGATCAAATTTGTTTGGCCTTGACATACCTGAGACACGAGGGTTTGTGAAATTGAAAGTCCTTGAAAATAAATACTCTTCCATTTCTTTTTTAACAGATAAACACTCATATTTCTAACAAAACGAGATGTCGAGAATGGGGTTGGGGTCGTGGTGATAGCACTACTTGTGCCCCAGCTAACATCTTGGCTTCCATTCTCACCTATCGCCTTCAAAACCACTAACGATTTAGAAAAATGGGTAGGGGCTCGTCATCCCCACTGAATTACCCAAAAAAAAAAACAACGAGATGTTTAAGAATAAAGGGTAAGTAAGCCGTAGTGCGATAGACTTTGTTAACAGGTAGTTCAATGCTACGTTTATTGTCTGTTCCGTCGAACAGATGGTGAGAAATTAACTCTTCCTAGATCAATTTACCCATAAAATCAGACCAGGTAATCTCCAACCGTTGATCAATGGGAACGTGGGAAATCTACCTTGCTTTGCAATACCATATACCATAGTCCATTGGGCAATTCTATACTTATCCTATGATAAATGGTTTGTTCATTTCCAAGTACTTATTATGGTCAGTGCTCATGTATTTTGTTGATGAATTTATATGGTTCATGGCTTCTGCTGTTTTATTTTTATTCTAGTTTTTCTAAGTAGGTATTCGCTTTCATTTCACAGAGGCATGCAGCGGACTTCTATATATCAGACTTCCAAACAGGGCTAAGAGCGCTAGTGAAAGCTGGGTATGGGGCCAAGGTCGCTTCATTTGTGAAGCCCTCAACTGTGGTTGATGTAACTAAGGAAAACAGGGAGGTGTCCCCCACCTTTCTCCATTGGCTAGCTGAGCGCAACCTTTCCAGTGACGACCGTGTGATGCGGCTCAAGGAAGGGTAACTCTCTCTGTCTCTCTCTCTCTCTCTCACACACACACACACACATCATTTCCTTCAACTAAGGGCACCACTTCTATACAGTGTTGGGAAGCTCTCCTTTTTTTCTTTTTTTTTTGGATTAGAGACCGTCGTTCCCAACCACTGGGCTGATAGGTATTTTATAGTATTTTTATTGGAGGATATGTACATGCATCCACTATCCATTTTCAACGGATGGTAGAGATTAACTGTAGTGGGCCCCCATGAATATTTACCCAGGTATAGCTAATCTTCATTATCAACAATTAGGAACAAATTGTGCAGGTGCACCATAGTTGTAAACAACATTGCTGGAGGATGTATTCTTTTCTTTTTCTATTTTGAAGCTTTTTCCTTTCTTTTTTTTTTGTCATATCTTTTGATAAATGTATTACATATTTACATCATATCAGGTACATCAAAGAGGGGAGCACAGTGAGTGTTATGGGGATGGTCCAGCGCCATGATAACGTGTTGATGATCATTCCATCTTCAGAACCGATCTCCACGGGGTGCCAATGGAAGAGCTGCCTTCTATCAACCACCATTGATGGGCTTGTTTTGACATGCGATGAATGTTCTAGTGGTGATGTCATAATACCAGTCTGATTAGTGATCTCTCTCTCTCTCTCTCTCGCTCTGCATGTGTATTTTTTGAAGGAAATTCTGAGTAGTCTGTGTATTTGGAAATAGAACTTAGTCTCTCTCTCTCTTTAGAAATTGAATCTGGGTATCCCACCTTTGTTTGGATAGTATGATTTTAGGAGAGGTGGTGGTCTTTACTCCCCTGTTGTGGAACACTGGGTACATCGCAGGGACTCCATTTGTACTATGTTGTGATTTTACTGTATGTATAATTGTCTAGTTAGGATTCTGGTCAGGCAGGCGCATGTGCTATTATTATGCATATGATCAATGATGTTTTGGGACATGATCTTTGGTCAGATACCAAAGACGTCCCGAAAGTAGGTAGGAACAAATTAAACCTTTGTTGATATTGTAAAGTGTATTCTACGAATGTACATAAGAAGCAAAGCCACCCAAAAGTGGGATCTTTGCTCTCTCTCTATGAGTTATTGAAGCTTGCAATTCAGATTATCAGAATGTTCGTGCGTGTACGACAGTTAATGTTTGTTTTTCGTTTTCCCTCAAAATCATCATTTGGTCTGTGCCTTCATGCCTTACAGATGTGTGCAGAAACAAAATTTCGGGAGATCACAGTAATGTATTAGTTCAAGACATAGAGAAAAGATCGAGGCTTTTCCAAATTTGGGAATAAGGTTGGAGCATCGGCAGTTAGGGGATGGAATGCCTCAACATGATGTCTCACCGTCCATTACCATTGTTAACATACCAGAGAGAGGGATTTACAGTGTTATAATTATTTTTACTCCACAGGCTTGATTAAAAGCAATGTAATTTCTTTAAGCAAATGGGCCGGGCTATCCCATTACACCTGAATAATTATTTTGGAAGAACCTGCTCCTTTGAAACATTGACGACTAATTAATTTAGAAGAAAATTAAGGAGCATTGCGTTCAAGTTGAACAGTATGCTCAGCCGCCAACTCATGCTTGTAAGTCTTCTGAAGAAAGGGCAGTATGCTTGTAGCTGAAAGCTATAGCTATCTTTAGGAAAGCTAACTGATGAAAACAATGTTAAAGAAAGCCTTCTCCAACTAATACAACAAAACTCAAAGCCTCGATTGCGTACCCCCTGCAACAACAAGGGTCTCTCCAGTTATATATGAAGCATCATCAGATGCAAGGAAGGCAACTGCGCTTGCCATATCATCTGTTGTGCCCAACCTCCCAAGCAAGCTGTGAGCTTCAACTTCCTTCCTCTGCACATCCACCATGCTAAAAATCAGAATTCAAGCACTATCAAACATTGAAGGAAAATGAACGTCAAGTTACAACTGTAACTAAATGCCATCATCAAGTCCAATCAAGATGGGGGGATGTCATCAAGAAAGAATGGCAATGCAAGGAAAGCACGGTTAAGATCGTCATATGCCATGATGTTCATTCATGCAAGGCTGATTAAGTCGACTTGGGGCATACTTTTTTCCTCTTTTAGCTATAATATGAAGAGGCAGAAAATGAGGAATGAAGAATATTCCTGTGATTTAAACATTAAACGAAGAAAAGAATATCCTCTGATTTAGGTGAAGGCTAGTTTGGATGCACCCAAATTTAGCATATTTTTGGATCACCATCTAAAATTTGGGTTGCAATTTGGACAACATCAAGATTATTAGATTTTAAGCTTAAAAACTCTGCCATCTAGGCTAAAAACCCATCTGAAAAATTTCAGATCAGACAATTTTTTCGTATGTGCAGTTTCGCTTCTCCTCAAACCCAACACACATGATGCTCTCTCTCTCTTCTCCCCTGCCCACCCAAACTTTCTTCTTTCTGATCGCCACTGAACTCATGGGGTTGAAGAAGAGAAGGCCCAACATGGTATCTCTGAAGAGAGAGAGGAAGGTAGAGGAGGGAGATAATGAAGTAAGAGGCGGTGGAGATGACAATATAGACGAGCAGATCAGGAGAAATCTTAAAGAGGATTTCATAGAAAATGAAGATGAGAAACCAAAATCCAACCCTTCTCTCATGCTGAAACCACCATCTCCATAAACTATACACATCATCAAATACCTCTCTCTCTCTCTCTCCCCACCCCCCCCCCCCCCTTCCCCCCATGTGATTACCATCTCTAAAAGCCACCCCTTCTCTCCCCCAAAGAAGTGCAGATTTCACAAATGCTTGGGAAATGGAGGACTACACCAAGAGTGAGGAGAGGCACCATAAATACCTGAAAGCAGAGGCTTTATCAAAGCTAGGAGAGCGTGCATCTAAATTCTAAACTAGAACTCTTTTTCCAATCAAAACTAGTGCTTGGCTCCTCCATCAATGGTGTCAATCTCAGGATTCAGATGAATAAAAACAATAATCTTAACAATAATAACAATGGCAGCAAAGGGTTGAAGACTAAGTTAGGGTTTTTGGGCCTCGATTTCATTTAAGGAAGAAGCTGCTTGCTTCATAGGCGGTTTTTGCCCTTCACCCACATTCGAGCCCTGTTGTGTCACCTAAGCCAATAGCTATCCCACTGTTGCACCAATATATTAATGAGAATTTGTTTCTTTTCACTTATTTGAATGGCTTTCATGGATGATCTAAGCTGCTTCTTCCTTTTACTTTTTTCCTTTTGTGAATAGTTTATCCTGGACACTTTTGGGTTTGAATAGGAGATTGCATTTTCATGGGGAAAGAGAGAGAGAGAGAGAAAGAGAGTGGGGCTTTATCTCTGCCCAATAGGAAAACAGGATGATACAGAGAAGACTCCTCTAGAGCACCTAAACAACTTTGCAGTACTAGAAAACAAATCCAAAATTTCTCAATCTTTGTCTGAAAAATTGAAGTTTTTTTAACAGTAAGATTTTATTATTTGACATTCAAAATAGCCCCAAGTAGGGGTATTGCAATGGTGGATGATATGATTGTAAACAAGGAAAGAATATGACCATCATGCCAATGAAATTTGGAGAGCATGAGATGTAGAAGAAATAGCATTTGGGGATAGATTTGATCACCCGTATGAAGTCGCTCATGGAAATTATCAATTTCCTGGTAAATCCCCACCACATTGATTTGGCAAACATTTTTAGACAAATTCAAAAGAGAACAAATAAAATCTTAGAAACCAGTAGAAAATTATGGCTGTTGCTAGGATAACTTTTAAAAGGAAAAGAGTTAGGTTTTTGACCTCAAATGGAATTGCTCAAGTTCAACCTTGACTGGGTTCTTCAATTTGAGTAAAGCTCTATTGAGTTGAGGATATTACTAGTAATTCTTGGCATTACCGTTCAATCAGCTAATAAAACAGCCATTAGGGCTAATTTGTTCATTTGTATCATGATTTTCACTCTTCCTTTCTTTTTTATAAAAATTTCAGTCAGCATACTAACCAGCCGTATGCATATGGGAGTTGTTTTATATGCTCTGGTGTGAGAGCAAATTATGGGAGTACACGCACAAATTTCCAGTATACCACAGCAGTAGCATATTCCGATAGAGTGCAGGGGAGGATAGGTTTGCACACTCCAAATTTGGCATCTTTTAGAGGAGTACATGCAGAGATAGATTCATGCTCTAGACTGGGTGTGTTATCTATTTTACATGCATTTCCTGGAAATAGTATGCATGGATCTAATCTTCCAAATTTTGTAGAGAACCCCTCCTCCCTTATCCTCAACTGCTCCATCCCAGGCGCTCGCCGCAACCGTGCCTCGAATCTCGGTGACTCTGGCCCTCTTCCAAACTCCCCCAGCTATGCCCTCCCTCGCCTTTATCCCACCACTTCTTCGCTCCCCTCTAATCGCTCCTCCTCGGGTACTTCCTCGCTTCCTTGAGGATTCGTCCCACCCAATCCCTCATTCTGCCCCCATTTTCCCCTTCCTTTTTAGGGAGACCTCACTGATATCCTTGGTCCCCATTCCCATGCCCAGTCTCCCCCCCCGCCCCAACCTTCCTCTACCCCCTCTTTGGCAACGTTCACCAAGTGCTAAAGGTCATAAGATTTGAGTATGATGGACATAAGAGGGCTTAGCTGCACTCCTAGGGCCTAATATTGAAACCAGCAATACCACAAAGGACAGAGGTCGCAGGGAACTCAATAGACTCATCTGAGATCAATTACAACAGGAACCCTCCAGCCACCTCCTCGGCCTCTTCTCACCAGGCCCCCATGACGGGTAAGTCATCTAGATGCTCGTCTAGGCGAGCTCCTCCTCGCCACCCTCATCTCTATGAAACTTATCATTTAGAATATCCAGGGCCTGGGGGACCCTGTCAAGTGAAGAACTGTTCGCGACTTCTGCCTAAAACAGCAGCTTGTGGTGTTGGCTTTCATAGAAACTAAGCTCTCTTCTCCCTCCCTCCCTCTGATCTGCCAAGTGTGGGGATCAAGACCACATCAATGGGAGGCGTTAGAGGCTAGGGGCCTCGGGGGGATTTGGGTCCTTTGCCCTTCTTGAAGGGCTATGCCACTTCAACCCTGCTTGGGGCCCCACCTTGATTGTGGAAGGAGATTCCAAGATTTTCATAGCCTGGGCTTCCAAATCCTCCCCGTGTCCTTGGCGCCTAGACCACATCTTTGAAGAGATCTTTCACCTGGCTAGACATCTGCTAGTGGTTTGGAGACATACTTGGAGAGAAGCAAATGATGCAGCAGACACCCTTGCCAAGGAGGGTGTCTCACAACAGAATCCCCAGGGAACTCGGGCATTTTTTCCAGCACTAGAGTCCCGCATTGTTCACTGTTTTGTATGTCTATTTTTTTGGATGTAGAGCGTTTATGTAACTCTTTACTTAATACAACAGTTAATATTTTCCATAAAAAAGACCTTATCAAGCATACAAATCTTTGTGCCCAATAAATCATGGCAAACTCTTCATTGCACATGCATACTAAGACACACATAGAAGATCTGAATTTTTTTGGAGAGTGTCCCAATAAGTTTGTATGTCATAAAGGAATATGGTTTAGATTCCCTCATCGGGCTTAAGAAACAAAACTTGAGCTTGAAGCACATGTCCTTCCTTTATCCCCTTTTGTGCTTCCATTAGAGCTTCCATGGCTAGTACGGGTAGTAGTCCTATTCTCCCAAACTTTGTAAAGTGAAAGCTCTCCCTCCTAGTGTTGAAGAAGGGAAGAATTGCCATCCATCTCCTTTCTGGTCATTGACACTGTCCAGTTACTGGTTTTCACTACAACCCAACTCTTTCAAAAGATTAGTTCTCAACAATGCACCTCAATTGGTTAACTTATGTATAAATCTAAAGAAGACGTGCTTAAAACCACCTTGTTAAGATGGGCAATTCGTATATATGCTTAATTCTATTGAAGCTTTAGTTTGAACCAAAACAAATAACAATTTTGAGTCATGCTAAGATTGAGAAATTTGACCCTCAAAGTCGATACCTTCCTCCTTCCCACCGAAGGAGTCACCATCATGCCAAAGTGGTGGTGGCATGAACCCTGAGTCTAGACCTCTAACAAGAAACTAGTTCTTCCCATGGTAAGGACAATTTCTCAACTGATGTTCACTCCCTTCTTGGACTGGGTTTCACTCCAAAAGCAACCAGCTTTGATATGGGCAAAGGCCAATCACAAAACTGGGAAGGTCCACTCCTAAACAGCACATGAAAGTTTTCGTTTGCTTATTACACTTTATCCTCTCCATGATCATGAAGAAGCTGGTGCTACAATGCTAGCTCACTTGGCTGAAGAATATCTGTAAGTGTGTGATTTACTAGGTCGGTCAACCAAACACACATACTCCCACTGAAGTGTATAATCCACTATAATTATTTATTTAGATACTCTCACGGGCTTTAAAGACCACAAGCCCACATAAATGAGTCCCTATCCAAAATCTAGACCACCTATTTGGTATATATTAAGATCTGCCTTTAAGAACTCAAAATTATTATTTTTTTAATATTTTGTTTTTAGAAGTTTTCATCTAATGTCTATAACGCTATCAACAAAAATTAGGATAAAAACGTCTACCTCTAAGGCTTAGATCTAATCATCCCACAAATGAATGGCCTATGTTCATTGGGTTAAAAGAAAAGCAATTTTTATTGTGTTTTCAAATTTTGTGTTTTTGAAATTGTTCATCATAGTGAACTGAGTATATGTTCAAAAATTTGGGTCAAATAGGTGATCCAAAAATGATTTTTAATTGTGCGTTTCATTATATTACTAGAAGACAAGCACATGAAATCACTCCCTTGAATTATATATATGATAATGCTTACAAACATCTATAAGTGAATTCCAACAGTACTTTGCTCATGGCTCATCACCATCCAAAGTCTATCAGAGAAATATAATTTATCCATTATTGATTGAATTTTAATATTTTCTATAAATCGGATTTATCCAAATGAATTTTAATATTTTTCTGCAAATTGGATTTATCCAAAATTTCAGTTGGGTATACATTTAACCACCTCGCACAAACAAAAAAGAATAAAAAATTAATTATCAAAAAATAAAATGGATTAGAATACCCCTGAAATATTCATAGGGGTGATTTGGTCATTTTCTTATTCAAATTATTTTTATATTTTATTCAGGCATGCCTCAAACTGAGACACCGGGGGGGCCACCCATATTTACCGTTTTCGGGAGACCCAACCCCTTCAAAACAAAATAGAATGAGCACCAACGACTAAGGGGAATGGAATGTCGACCATAGGGTGAGATGATCAGTGAATACGAGGGGCGGCAAGAGCAAGGAAAGGCAAGTGCAAAGTCGAGCTGCATGTGCCACGTGCAAGTCAAGCGAGAGAGAGACGCGCGGGTAGGTGTATCAGTAGCAAGCTCAGGCCTCGCTTGCTGCTTGCCTTTCCTTTGCACGCTCTTGCCTTGAGTTCAGCTCGCCTTCTATTCGGTAGAAGCTCACTTTCCTTTCCTCGATTCGTCCCTGCATGGAGTTCAACTCGCTTATCTCTTTTGTTGTTGCTCGCTTTCCTTTCCTTTACTCACCCTGCCTTAGCTCGATCACTCTCTTTGATACCTCGTAACTTCATATGCTCGATCAACTAGATCGATCCATCTTTTTGATGGCTCAAATCTTCATACACTCGATCAACTAGATCGACCACTCTACTGGCTCCTGCCAGTTCGGTCACAACCCACAAAATTTGAGGTTCATCTAATGTGTAAGAAAAATAATAAAATTTGAATGCTATCAGACAATCGTGACCATTTGATGGACTTCGGATAGTGATGAGCCATGGGCAAAATACTGTATAAATTTACTCGTGGGCGTTTTTAGGTGTTTCTCTCTCTCTCTCTCTCTCTCTCTCTCTCACACACACACACACACACACACACATATGACGACCCTCTTCCTTCTTAAAGAAAGAAGGAAATGGTGAATTTTATCTCAAATTTCCTGAAAGAGGTAAACTTCTTTCAAATATTTTGAGATTTATAAATCGATTTTTTGCAAAATTAGTGTCAAATCAAAGTGTGTTGAATTCCTACAGATTTGACTACAAAATTCAAAGAATGTTTGTGAGTTTAGAATATTATGAAGAGTGCAATTTGAGATCTTGCAATCGTTCTTATTGGGCTGGTTGTATCTTGGGAGTGTGCTCGCTGAGACCGACTTCATCATGGAAGCTTCTCCGTGTTGGGGATGTTTAACACTTTGAAGAAAGCAAGACATCTCGTGCTTCCAGGTCCCTTGTATATTCTGTTGTATTTAATTCTAAATCTCTCTCTCTACAATTCTGAAACCACACCAAAACCCTCAAGATTCAACTGGACTAAAGAATATTCCTAAGATATATTTATTGAAGTTTGACTTCGGTCAAGGGAAGACCCTGCCAAAATTAGTTACAAGGGAATCATAAAAACCTATGCTGCATGGATACAAGGGAATCACAAAAACCTAAATTTGTCTTTGCAATACCTACATTGAATCATCCAATTCCCACCACATCCTAGAAACCACCTTCTCTTTCAACATATGCCCATAGGGGGTGGCTTAATTGCATAAAGTCAATATTAGATCTTCTCTCGGGTTTCCAATCTCATCAAACCGATCTCCACGTCAAAGGTGACACAAATAACAAGTATCTCAAAAGCCTTCCAAGTTTCCTAAACTTATAAGTGAAAAAAGAACTTTTAGAACCTCTTCATGGTACCATGTTATTACTGCTTTGTCAATCTCTTTTATAATATAAAGACAAATAGAATAATTTATTAAGGGTGCAGTTAGCGTACGGATGCATCCGTAGCTGTAGAGGTAAGGTGAACCCTCAAATTTTATCATGGTATATAATTTGGATGTAGAATGTTCTTAGGATCATCTCAAAATCTATTTCTATATCTAATTATAAAATTTTAAATTTAAAAAATAGTTAAAATCAAGTAGATCTATAAACATATGAAAATCTTGAAAATGGACGGTGTAGATAATATGTTGTAAAATGCACTATTTCTGAGACTTCAAATCTTTTTATTTTTCATAGTCATACATCTCGATCTCAAGATGATCAATCAAAGGGTTTTTCAACATTAAAACTATCTTTTCCGATGGATTTTTTAGGTGCATCCGTAGCTGTAGAGGTAAGTTTGCATCCTTATATAAACTTTTTCCATTTATTAAACGAACTTTCACCAGAAACCAAATATTACTGTGGAATAAAAAGAACAATGATAATAAAGCATTAAGCAAAGCTGATATTGTTCTACAAAAGGTAAAATATGCAATATTCAGATGGACTATGGAAAAATTATAGCCCATTGAGTCACTGCTGCACATCTGAGTTACACATGGCAATGTGGAGAGAGTACGACCAAACAGAACACATAATGAGCACAAAGCTGAGTCCCACTCACTCTTTGTCACAATCCATAATTTCAATAGCCGGCGATGACCCAATGGACTATTTTTTTTTCATAGTCCATTGGATGATATTATACTTTTCCATTAGAAATATCCAAAACCATCTAAACATCCAAAACAATTATTATTTACATAAAATAATGAAACCGCCAAACTATCCAACAGATTATTGTAACAATGCAACCATCAGCCCACCCAAAAGCAAAATATAGAACGACTGAAAGTCCAGGATACATACAGCAGATTGATTTTCTGTAATGAACTGTGCAAAGTGCGTTGGTACAAATCCAGGAGCTACAGCATTGACTCTCGTATTAGGGGCCATTTCAGATGCAAGAGCCTAAAAGAAACGACATTGAAGAAATTACTGTTTAGCATATTTCTTCATCTCTTTGTAAAAATAAAGTGTATCCCAACTTCCACCAAACAGAAACAATATTCTAGAATGTCAAAAGAGTTTCAAAAAGGACACTGCCCTCTACAATATTCTACAACATGATTTCAGTTGTTCTAGTTCAAAAGTGATGATGTTAAATGATACATATATGTATTGAAGTCGAATGCCAACTATTTACTAGAAGTGTCCCTCTAAAGTTTGCATCATTGCAACTTAGAGAAACCACTAGAATATTATCATTTTTTCAATATGTACCATCATCAAAGTAACTCCATAAAGCGGGAAGTCAGAGGTAATCTGACAGAGAGTAACACAAGGAATAATAATAGTATGAGATGTGAGCCCCATCATTCTAGCAGTGAGAAATGTTAGATGCAACTCCTTGTTTCCAAAGTTTCAAAAGTTAAACAGGAACAAAGAAAAAGGTCAAATGAATGTGCCAAAAAAAGAAAAAGCAAAAGAACGACGTAAAAGCATAGAAATCCATTATTTATTCCATGTAAGTAACATACCTTTGTAAGACCAAGAAGTGCTGTTTTTGTGACTCCATACATGGACATTGCCCGGGGTGGGTTATAGGCAGCAATAGAAGTAATCAAGACAACAGATGATCCATCATGCATGTGAGGTGCAGCAGCCTGTGGAGAATATCACACTATTATATGGGAACTTTCCAATCTCAGCTTATGGAAAACGCATTGCATATAGAAACATGAAATTCATGTCAAGATTACCTGAAGAATGAGGATAGAGGCCTTTACATTGATGTCCCAAAGTTTATCAAGAACAGATTCTGATGTTTCCAAAATGGGCTGGACAGAAGGATTGGCAGCTGCATTGGATACCACTATATCTATAGCTCCATATTTCTGCATCACATGCACCAGTTACAGAATTTTAGGACACTGTGGTATAGAGATACTAGCAATCGAAATGTGTATCACAGGATGCATTTGAGAAAATACAGAAAAAGTTTTTAAATATTTGACAAGCTCTATTGTGGTGGAACCTTGGATTTTAACTTGACAACTTTGATAAAAGCATATTTGATGTCCTAAAACTTCTGAACTTTCCATTTTTCGTTAGCTAAATACATTCAGTTCTCTCACTCCTAGTTCTTCTCAAGTTATTTTTACTAAACACTGGGATAATAAAGAGAGTAGTGACTAAGGGGAGATAGACATGAACTTTTTTGGCAAGCTGTCAATGATTCCAAGAGAAAAGGGGAAAAAGGGGGGGGGGGGGGGGAAGGGGGGAGGGGTGAGAGTTGGGACGGGAGAGAGATTTTAGAAAATGAGAAGGAAAAAGAGTATGACTTATTTAAAAGTTGCACTCCTATTTATTCTCTTTAAAATATATGGATTATGAAAATATTGAAAATGCTCGTAAGATTAATTAAAAAACTCTATTCATACACAGTACATAAAATATCTAGTTTTTCTAAGCAGCTAAAGACAAAGCACTAAAAGAAATTCATAGAAATTTAGAATTGTTGTTGAAATATGCAACTTCACTAATTTCATACGAAAACCATGGTTTGCGTTTTGAAGAAGCTTTTCCTTCTCTCTTTTATTTCCATGGAAATGAGCAAGTTGATTAATCAATTGACAATATGAAAAACATCATTAAAATCAATATACACCACCACACGTACCTTCTTCCATTTCTCACAAGACCATACAAACACGTTGAGAGAGAGAGAGAGGAATAAAATACATATATAATATATGGATGAGAAGGTGTGACGAAACAATGAAACAGAATGGACCTAACATTTCTTCTTTTTTTTGATGAGCAGATTGTAATGACTTTGCTGCCGGCATCGTTCTGGATATCAAGGAGTAGATGAATACTGAATTAACACAAAAAGTGACTCATAAGATGTCACCGTATGCCCTCACAAGGTCCATGTGATTAATTTATCTTCTTTGAGTTGCAGTTGTATTTCCTTTGCAGCTAGGCATAATGAAAATAAAAGATTATAAGAATAACAAATACGAATGGCGGACCAAGATTCGTATAGCCGACCCTAATTAATTGAGAAAAGGCTTTGATGATGATCATGATGTAAAAATAGCAAATAACATTTGGCATTTCCATGAGGGGAAAAGTTGTTGTTGACGTCAATAATTGCCAAGTAAATGCCATACCAGTCGTATGAGACCAAACAAAATAAACCCAACAATATTTAGTGATGTTTCTAGTTTGGAATTTGTCCCAAAGGTTATTTCTAGCGGTCCTATTTTTTTTGGGGGGTAAGTTGTCCTATTTGGGTTTTATTACCAGTGATTGTTTCCATCACAAGAGAGCCAACAAAAGGCATAGAGCTCATCAATTTCGAAGTGTTGATTGCTAAGAACCTATGAAACAGAAAAGGTGCTGGTGAAACACCTTCTCCCCCCACCCCAACAAGGAACCCTAGAAGAAGGGAAGATTTCAACAGAGGAACGTACGATTGATGATACTAGGAGGAAGAGGTTAGAGCCGGAAGGGGGAAGGATGGAAAAGAGCTAATAGGTGAGCAGCCCCTTTAACACAAAATTCATCCTACTACGTTCCTCCAAGTCGACCTCCTCCTCATCTAGACGAGCAGCCCCTTTAACTCAAGTTTTTTTATATGATACCATGTTAAGATTGAGAGAGCAAAGAGACAAAGTAAATTCAAGCATAATATAACGAAAGTATAAATGTCTTTTTTACTCTATACAAATCGTGGGGCAATGTGCCCTATATATATACAAATCCCTATGGAAGTAACAGCCCATTATGCATGACTGTCGCATGGCCGTTACGGCCCATTATGCAAAATTATTATATGGTTGTGACAGCCTATTATGCAAAGATTGTTACATGGCTGTTACTGTGCATTATGCAAGATTGTCATATGTCTGTTACAACGCATTATGTAAGACTGTTACATGGCGGTTACAACCCATTTTGCAAGATTGTTACATGAATATTATAGTCCTACACATTTTATTCATGATTTTAAGGATTTGCCAATTGCATATCTCATACAATTTCATGGATATTGTTTAGTGCTCCCATGCCATAAACCATTTCAACAGGCCCATTGCTCAAATTGCTTCCAAATCGCATTTTCCATCTTGTCGAATATCATTCACTCTCCAACCATCCTCTACTTCTAGGGAACTTGAAATAACTGCAAAGTTGTTTGCAAGAACTGGGATAAAACACAAAACTTAAAAAAAAAAAAGAAAAAAGAAAAAAGAAAAGAAAACTTCCAAAAAACAAAGAACCTTGAAATATGTGTCGTCATTATCACCGTCAAAAGCCTTTTCCCAACTAATTGGGGTCGGCTAAGCTTGAAATATGTGTCATGCTGCTCTAAAAGGGTAATCAAAACATAGTTTAAAGAATCACTAGGAAGAATTATAGAGGAAGAATAAAAGAATGAAAACCAAAAATATCAAAATTAGAGTCATTCAAGAAGAAATAAATTTTACATGTGTAATCAATTTCCTATTTTCCAGTTGTACCTATTTCATAAGAGAAAATACCCACCAAGGAATATACTATCCCAGCTTTTGATGCCATGAAAGTGGGGAATGCAAGAAAGGGCTCAAACCCATCCAACTCAATTATAGAAATTAGTAAACCTCATGACTGAATCATCCATATGAATCTTAAGTGCTTCAAAGCAAGTCAAGAATGCTTGACAACCACTCCAATGTAAAGTAGGCCAAATCAGACTCAACTAGGGAATTTATCAATGCCAACTTGACACTCCACTAGGGGGGCCGATGTCACTGTCGACATGTGTCAACAATTACAGACATGTTGATATGTCTAGGCACTGGTTTCAATACAAAGCAAAAAGACCCTTGTGGAACTCAACCACACCAAGTGCTTGCACAAATAAAAAAATTCAAATTATGCTATATTTGACATAGAAACATAATATTTTCATTTCCAATAATACAACTGAGCATGTGTCTTGCCATATTTTCTTTCTAGGCCAAAGCACTCATCAACTTGGACACATGTTGGACTCTTAACACTTGTATCAATACTTATGTACCATTGGTACTAGAAGTGTGTCGTTGATTGGCGTTTGTGTGAGGGATAGCATTTATGAGCAAGACAGTTCCATGTTATCTAAAAAAAGGTGACCATGGTAGTTCCTTACTGAGGAGAGACAAAATATCTACATGTTTGTCCATCCTATCAAATATTATTCGTGCCCTTAGGCATGAAAAGGAACAGGCTGCCCTGGGCCAAGGGTCTACTTGAGCCCCCTGTCATATAGGAGGCTGAAATCCAATCCGTGGAGGCCCAAGCGCTCAAGCCCAGTACAGGCTGGCCAAGCAAATTAGATCCTTCTTGTTAGTATTACATACCTAAGCCCAATCTAAATGAGTTTGGGTGGGTTTGGCCTAGCCCTGCCTGACATACCATTTAGTTATGCCCAACCTAAGGTCATGTTGAGCTTGGCCCATAACACTATGTGCTGACCAAGCCTATTTGCATCCTAATGGCCCCCACCATCCTCTACAACTTAGGAACTTATATTATCTAGAGAGCCATAATTTGGGGGATTATATCATTTGAAGAGCTGAATCGTAAGCCCTTCCACTTTATTTAAAGCCACAAATGGCGATGGATAGGCCAGGTCTGAATTAATTGGTGTTCTGGTCTCAGAAAATTATCCACCAACATACACAGGTCTTGTTACTGCTGTGAGAATGATTATTGAAGTCTTAGTCAGCATTATATTATATGATTATTGAAATCTTAGTCAGCATTATATTATATTTTAGTCTGTAAGGACATATTTGTCCCACATCTTGTACAGCAAGTAAATCTTTTATAACTAATATAAATATAAATATAAATATATGAGAGGTGGAGGTCAGTATGACCTAACATCACCCCCTCTTTCTTCCTCTCTAAATGTCCTCTTCCTTACTCATTTCACTCTAACTGGCACTTGATCTCTTCATCTTTCTCATTCCTTTTTCTCCTCAATTTACTGTTGTATTTTAACTCTTAGCACCCTAGAGCACTGTTAGTTCAAAAATTCATCCCAAGGGGCAGATCCTGTCTACTCACTTTTACAAGAGAGATATTGCCTGTGATATGGGGAAACAACCATGATCAAAGGTGTTGGATCAAAAGCATTCATGTAACATAATCACACTATAAGTTAGTGTATAGTCTCTTTAGAGTCCGATACAAGGTATGGAGAAAAACGTGAAAGGGGAAAATAGCATAACAAATGAAATATCACCAAACTAAACACATCCCGGCATAGATCAAATATATAATTCAAGCACTAAAGGCAACAATGCTTATCTGTTACCAGAAAATTGTAACAATGTGCAAATGCTCAAGCCTACATGTATCATGAGCATTATTGGCTTGATGGAGCAAACAATGCAACAACTTGCTTGGTCAAAATGGACCAGAGATTATAAATATGGTGAAAAAGAAGAAAAGGAAGCAAGTAAGCCAAACATACCAAAGAAATGAAGAAAGGAACCACAATTGAGCTGTGGTGACCAAAGGGTACACTAGAAGATACGACCTAGACGACCAAAGATACAAGATATGTGGAAGATACAAATGAATAACCAACAATGAGAAGGAAACGATGGAAGGTGGGGAGTCATAAGCATAAAATTTAAGGGGCAAAAAAGGAATCGGGCTTGGGTCAGGATGGTAGAGGCTGGGTTTTCATAGCCTAATGTCTCAAGTTCCATTCCTATGTAACCTTGTCAAAAAAAAAAAAAAATTAAGGAAAAGAAAGATCCATTGTTGAGGACAAGATTGATTTCAAGCGGGGTTGATGCTACATACCTACTCCTTCATTATAAGGTTTCTATTCTATTTTTCGGAAATGAAATGA